AAGAAGGTGTCGATCCCCTGGAACCGGAGTTACAGACAGTTGTTAGCCCCCATGTGGGTGCTGGGAACCGAACCTGGGTCCTCTGTAAGAGTAGCCAGTGCTCTTGACCACTGAGCCATCTTTCCAGCCCCATATTTTTGTTTCTTGAGAAACGTTATTTATCAGAAAAGTTATCAGAAAGAAAGAGGAGCTATCTCACACCTCAAAGAAGAACTGGATTTTTGAAAAAAAAAAAAGAGAACAAAAAGCAATGGAAATAAGAAATACTTGAATTTGAAAAAAAGCATTGGGTAGACCACAAATGGGAATGTGGCTTAGGGCTTAGTGTGCTTGCCTTGCTACGAGAAGCTTTGGATCCTGTTCCCAGCATTGCATAAATTGGGTGTGGTAGTGCATGTGTGTGATCCCAGCTCTCAGGAGGTGGAGGCAGGAAGGTCAGAAGTTCAAGGTTGCCTTGGGCTGTATAGCAAGTTCAGGACTAGCTTGGGTTATATGAGACCCTGTTAAGCAAAAACGATGAACTTGTGAGGCCATCAGAATAAAAGTTTTATGCCAACGGTATGTTGCCTACCACATGTAAACCTGGTAAATTAAGAAATTTGCAGCTGGGATTGATTTTTGTCTTGGAGACAGGGTCTCACTACGCATCCCTAGTTGGCCAAGACATCACTGTGTAGACCAGGCTGCCCCCAACTCACAGGCATCCATAGCTGCCTCTGCCTCCCAAGTGCTGGGAACAAAGGTGTGTGCTACCACACCTGACAGCAGCTGGGAATTTTATTTAGCAATATGGAGTAAGCACTAGAATAAACAGTTAAAGTTTACAATGGGTTTCCTCTGGGGAATATGTTTAAGCTTGAGGAAAGGAAGCTAGATGGTATAGGTGTGAAGTCAGTCTGGGCTACATGAGACTCCTCTCTGGAATAAAAAGGACACTGGGTGTGGTGGCACATGCCTTTAATCCCAGGACTCAGGAGGCAGAGGCAGGCCGATCACTGTGAGATGGAGGCCACCCTGGACTACATAGTAAGCTAGGCAGGCTGGCGCTACAGGGAGACCCTGCCCGCCCCCCTCCCCCCCGCAAAAAGAAACAGGACAACAAAGTATAATGAAAAGTGATTCTGACATAAGTTAGTTGCTGTTCTAGGTAGACTTTTATTGTTGTAATATGACCAGAACCAACTCAGGAAGGAAAGGGTTTATTTGGTTTAAACATACATGACTCATCCTTGAGGGAAGCCAGGACAGAAACCACGAGGCAGGAACTGAAGTACAGACCACAGACAAACACTGCTCACTGTCTTGTTCCTCTGGCCTGTGCTTTCTTCTACAACTCAGGACCACTTCCAAGGGGTGGCACCACCCACAGTGGGCTTGGTCCTCCCACATCACTCAACCATCAAGAAAATGCCTCACAGACTTGCCCACAGGCCAGTCTGTTGGAGGAACATCCCCAATTGAGGGTCCCTCTTCCCAGGTGTGTTGACAAGGAAAGCTATCTAGCACACCTGCTGTCTTCTGTGGCCTAGAAATATCAAATGGAAAATTCCAGAAATAAACACCTCTAGACTTTTGAATGATGTATCCAGGATGTGTATTCCCTTATTCTTCTTAGCCATATGTTACCCGTCCGTTAGTTACTTAGTATCCAATTAGGTTATCACACTGGCTATTGTGGTATTGCAGGACTTATATTTAAGTAACCCCTACTTTACGAAGTCAAAAACCATGGTGCCAGAGAAGAGCTGTGAAGTGTGTGTACTTACTCTCTTTCTCTCTCTCACCCTTCTTTTCCTTTTTTCTTTTATCTTTTTTCTTTTGAGACTAAAATCTTACTCTGTAGCCCTGGCTGGCTTTGAACTCACAGAAATCCTTCTGCCTCAGCCTCCCAAATGCTGGGATTACAGGCATTATACCCAGATGTAAAATTGATTTTTTAAAAGATTAATTTTTATTTGTGTGTGTGCATGTCTGTGTGTCTGTGTGTGTTCATGGGTATGTACACATGAGTGCATTGCCCATGGAGGCTGGAAGAGAGAATAAGATCCCCTGGAGCTGGAGTTACATGTAGTTGTAAGCCACCCAATGCGGGTGCTGGAAATCAAACTTGGATCCTCTGCCAGGGCAACAGGTGCGCCTAACTGCTGAGCAGTCTCTTCAGCCCCTAAAGTGCTTTTTATTATTTTTTAAAGACAGGGTCAAGCCTTTAATCCTAGTACTCAGGAGGCAGAGACAGGCAGATCTCTGTGGGATCAAGTCCAGTCTGATCTACATAGTGAATTTCAGGCGAGCTGCAGCTACCAGGGGCTACCAGGAGACCCTATCTCAGAAAACAAAAAACAAAAAAAGAAAGAAGACAGGACCTCACTATATGTAGACTGGCCTGGCCTTGACAGAGAGCTTCTTCTGCCTCTCTCTTTTCAGTGCTGGGATTAAAGGCATGTGTCACCATGCCTAGCTAAATGTTCTTTAGTGAAAATAAAAGTACACTCAAATATTTTGAGAGCAATCATAGTCACAGAAATTTTATTATAGTAAAATTGTTCTTAGTTATTGTTACTAATCCCTTACTGTTGCCTAATTTACAAATTAAACTTTGTCATAGGTGTGTGTGTATAGGGAGGAAGGTATATGTGGACACAAATTTGTCTTTTACATACTATGTGTATAGTACAGTTCTGCCACAGGTTTGGAGTCCACTGGGGCTCTTGGAGGGCTTTCTCTGGATAAGGGGAACTACTGTAGTCAAAATAAGACTTGAACCAAGTAAATTAGAAAACTAAAAAAAGATAAGCAATTGATACATGTAAGTACTGTTTTTTTTTTTTTAAAGAAACAGTTCAAACTTTCATACACATTCCACTAGTGTAATCTAGAAATTGAAGGAAACACAGATGCTGTTAAATCTAGAGATAGTTTGATTTAACTTTGCAAAATCTACACACATGGGTTTGAAACTCTGGCTCCAGTGCATGATTTTGTTGGAAGATATGCTACCAGATTTGACTGCAGAGTAGAAGATTCAAGAAGACCCCTAAAAGTGACAGAAACCGGATGGCTGTTATCTGTGAGAAGTGATTGCTGGGCTCCTGGCCTCTGGCTGCTGTGGTTTCAGAGGGTAGTTTCTGCGTGGAGCACCCTGCGTGAGGCATGGCGGGTTGCCCTGTTTAATGTCAGGTCTGCAGGCGTCTGGCAAGGGTGTTCATGCCCTGCAGAGAAGACTGATTCTTGGAATCAGTAGGGAGCGCAAGAGGAAGAGCTTGAGGCTCCCTCCCTCGCCCCAGTAACATTTTTGAGATGAATATGCTAGGTGAACTTTTTGGCATGAAGAAAAGATTAAAAAAAATTGACATCACTTGTTCTCATTTTAATTTCACAAGCAACCAATTCCTTACAGAAAAATATATTTTCATAGTATTAAAGCTTTTAAAATTGGGGAGCCTAAGATGTAACCCAATTGATAGAGTGCTTGCTTAGTGTGCATGAAGCCCTGGGTTTGATTGCCAACACCAAAATAAACCAGCTGTGGCGGTACACACCTAGAATCCCAGCACTGGGGCAGGGGGTGGGGGTGGGATGGAGTCGGGGATGGGGGAGCAGAGGCAGGAGGATCAGGAGTTAAAGGTCATTTTTGGCTACATAGTAAGTTTGAGGATAGTCTGGGATACATGAGACACTCTAGAGCAGCCTAGGCTACAGAGGGAAATGTTCAGAGGGAGAGAGAAAGAGGGAGAAAAGAATGGAGGGTGGGAGGGAGAAAGGAAGGAAGGAGGGAGGGAAGGAAGGAAGGAGGGAAGGAAGGAAGGAAAGAAGGAAGAAAGGAAGGAAGGAGGGAAGGAAGGAGGGAGGGAAGGAAGGAGGGAGGGAAGGAAAGAAGGAAGGAGGGAAGGAAGGAAAGAAGGAAGAAAGGAGGGAAGGAAGGAAAGAAGGAAGAGAAGGAAGAAAGGGAGGGAGGGAGGAAGGAAGGAAGGGAGGAAGGGAGGGAAAGAAAGAGAAAGAAAGGCATTGTGCATAGCTTTCACTCACACATCTAATCTGTGAACAAGGTGGGCTTTTGGAAAGGAAGGGAGGGAGGGAGGGAGGGAGGGAGGGAGGGAGGGAGATAAAAGGTTCAACTGTTGGCTTATTGCCAACAAACCTGATGACTTGAGTTCAATCCCTGGGATTCACACCGTGGAAGAAGAGAACCCAGTCCTGCAAATTATCCTCTGATCACAAGTACACCATAGCATACACGTGGTTACACACATAAACATATACAGGTATAGAAGATAAATGGGAGGGAGGGAGGGAGGGAGGGAGATAAAAGGTTCAACTGTTGGCTTATTGCCAACAAACCTGATGACTTGAGTTCAATCCCTGGGATTCACACCGTGGAAGAAGAGAACCCAGTCCTGCAAATTATCCTCTGATCACAAGTACACCATAGCATACACGTGGTTACACACATAAACATATACAGGTATAGAAGATAAATAAATGTAAAACAAGGTTTTAAGGCTAGATTGTGTATTACAAGGGTGATAGCATTTTGGGGAAATAAAAACCGAATCTCAGAGCTCCTTAGCTCTTAATTATTTTCATGGAAAAGTACCTTGTTTTCAAATGCTGGTAACTGGAATACTCTTTTGGTTAAAAATAACTGGCACAAAGTGTGGGGAAACCTACTAAGGAAAAAAGTGGTCAGAACAGCCCATGAGCTGGAAACCAGAGCAGAGCAATGCCAGAGGCCAGGTCATTATACCACTGACTGCCCTAAAGCAGGGTTGATGTGGGTGGGCTCGAGAGCATCTGGAAAGGCCAGTTCAGACAAGTCAAGGGCAGGGGAGGGCAGCACTCAGCCCTGGGTTCTGAAGTGTCTTTGCTGTTTCAAATGTCCTGCATTTGAGCTTTGATGTTTCCCCCTTGTAATCATTCCCCTTTTCCATTAAACACAGGTAATTCTAACACTGTGTCCTCTTTGCTGTTTTTCTCTTTTCTCTGGCACCTTTCGCTTTTAGCCAGGACAGTGAACCATGGAGCTGTATTTTGGTGAATACCAACACGTACAACAGGAATATGGCGTCCACCTGAGACTGGCCAGTGATGACACCACCAAGCAAAGGCATTCCCAGCCCTCCAAGGCAGGCTCCTATGGTGTCAGTATTAGGGTCCAGGGAATCGATGGCCACCCCTACATAGTCCTGAATAACACTGAGCGGTGTCTAGCAGGCACACCTTTTCCAGAAAATGGACCATCATTTCCATCTCCAGTGATAAATAACTTGTCCATACATTCCAGCAACGGGCCCGTGTTGAAGAACAACACAGAAGAATTACAGCTTCCAGAAAACCCATGTGCTCAGTCCAGCCCGATCAGAAACCTGAAACAGTCCTCCCTCCATGAGGGCAAGAACGGGGTTCTAGAGCGCAAAGACGGGCAGGTGAAACCACCCCATGTACTCAATTTCCAGAGACATCCAGAGCTATTGCAGCCCTATGACCCTGACAAGAATGAGCTGAACTTGAAGAAGCGCCACCCTCCGGAGAGCAGCTGGCTGAGACACTTAGAGGAAGGGACCGAGCATAAGAAACCCTGGACTGGCTTCCCGAGACCCAGCAAGTCCCAGCCCACCAGCCCCCCGGCCGAGGACCCAGCCAAGGCCAGCATGACAGCCATCCGCCTCTGCAGCTCGGTGGTCATAGAAGACCCTCAAAAGCAGACCTCGGTGTGTGTGAATGTTCAGAGCTGCGCCAAGGAGACGGCGGGGGAGGAGTCCCTCTCCCCTAGAAGGAGATCCCCGACGGTCCCCAGCCCACAGGCCTACCCCGAAACCAAGAAAACCAGGCCAGATGTTCTTCCCTTCCGGCGACAGGATTCCGCAGGACCCATCCTGGATGGAGCTCGGTCCCGGAGGTCTTCCTCTTCATCAACGACTCCCACGTCAGCCACCTCCTTGTACAGATTTTTACTGGATGATCAGGAATGCGCCATCCATGCTGACAACGTCAACCGTCATGAGAACAGAAGGTACATCCCCTTCATGCCAGGAACCGGGCGGGATATTGACACCTGCTCAATTCCTGGTGTGGACCAGTTAATTGAAAAGTTTGACCAAAAACCTGGGCTTCAGAGAAGAGGAAGGTCTGGGAAGAGAAACCGAATCAATCCGGACGACAGGAAAAGATCTCGAAGCGTGGATAGTGCCTTTCCTTTCGGTCTCCAGGGGAACCCTGAGTACCTCACAGAGTTCAGCAGAAACCTGGGCAAATCCAGTGAGCACCTCCTGCGCCCATCCCAGGTGGTCCCGCAAAGGCCACCTGCCCAGGAGCGCCGTGCAAAACAGAGTCCAGGCCGCACACTTGCAAAGCTGCAGGGTGCCACACAGGGCACCGAGGGTGCTCACCCCAAGCCTCCCCAGCAGAACAATGATGAGAAAGCTCTGGAAAACAAAAGAAGTCAGGAAAGCATGGTAGTTCGTGCCTTCTCCCTTCCAGCACAGAATAAAAAGGAGGAAGAGGTCAAGATAGCCACTGCCACCCTGATGTTACAGAATCGAGCTGTGGCCACCACACCTGATTCAAGTGCCAAGAAAATTTCAGTGAAGACATTTCCTTCCAATTCCAATACTCAGGTAACACTTGTGTGACTCCTTTATCCTTCTCTAAGTGACCTAAGCAATGTGCCATAAGAATGAGTATCCTTAGTCTTGAATCAGTAATTACACATTTGATGATTTTGTGTATGTGTCTGTGTGTATGTATACATACATATGTGTGTCTAGGCCATACGTTGACATCCGGTGTTTTCATTTGCTCTCCACCCTATTATTTGTATTTTTGTTTTATGTATATGAGTGTTTGCCTTCATGCATGTATGTGTACCAGGTGCGTACAGAAATGGAGTTACAGATGGTTATGAGCCACCATCTTGGTGCTGGGACTGAACCTGGGTCCTCTGCAAAAGCAGCAAATACTGTTTGCTGTTGGAGCCATCTCTCCAACTCTTCCACCTTACTGTTTTTTGAGACAGGGTCTCTCTCTGAACCTGGAGCTCACTGATTCAGCTAGACTAGCTGACCATCGAACTCCTACTCTCCACCTCCCCTGTGCTGGCATTATAGGTACATGCAGTGCCTGGCTTTTACATGGGTGCTAGGGGATGGAACTCAGGTCTTCCACATTTGCATAAGCAAGCACCTCACCGACTGAGCTGTCGTCTCAGCTTGTGCACATTTGGTTTTTTCTAAGGATCAGATTATGTCCTGTATAGTTTGTTAATTAGAGTTTTGTCCTACTATATAGATGATGGCAAACTAGTTTCCTGGGTAATCTTCAGTACTGCTGGGCTCCCTTTCTGTAAAGGCCCATCCCAAACAGTATAGAGAGGCTCTATTTCTCTCTGTGTATGAAATCTGGAAGCATGAAATAGTTTCAACAAACGTTTGGTGTTGAGGTATATGTTGATATGCTTTTGTTCATGAAATTGAGCAACTAGCTTAATTTCTGGTCTGAGAAATTAGGTTAATTGCAAAGTGATTGAATTTAAGTGGTACATTTAGTGCTTGGACAGTAACAGTAAAAAAAAAATAATAATAGTGATAAAAATGATGAGGAGGAGGGTGCCAGGCATTCTTATATTATAGGATTGCACCAGCTGTGTGAAGGCAGGTGCTAGTGGCCTAATTTACAGGTGAGAAAATCCAGGGAGGAAGGGAAGTCACTTACCCAAGGGTTTTGAGGTGGGTGCCAGACTGGCTTCCCTGAGGAGACTGACCAGAGGCCCCAGTTCTGGAAGGGAGGAATGTATTTGGAAACCTCTACTTCAGGCTGGTGCCATCTTCCTGAAAGGGCCATCCTGGTGGTCTCATAACAAACTTTATTGTGTTCCAGGCCACACCAGATCTCTTAAAGGGCCAGCAGGAGCTCACTCAGCAAACCAATGAGGAGACAGCCAAGCAGATCCTTTACAATTACCTCAAGGAAGGGTACGTGGTTTTCCTTAAAGAACAAAATCATTGACGTTTCTGGTGGGTTTTTTTACTTGTTTCTGAGTCTTTGTGTTTTACTTTTCTTTCCTGTTCTACCTGAGCCATTTGAAGGTTGTTTCCATGGATGAAGCTTTCATGCCACCATCTAAATCTTAGGCCAGAGGGGAGTAGGAAGAATATTCTTTGTAGGTCAATTTTTATTTTATATTTGTGTGTGTGCACATGTGTGTCAGGTATAGTCACTTGTGTTATGTATGTGGAGGCCAGAGGTCAAAGTCAAATATCTTTTTCTGTCACTCTTCACCTTACTCTTTTGAGACAGGGTTCTCACTGAACCTGGGGCTTGTCGTTGTAGCTGTGTTGGCTGGTTGGAAAGCCCCTGAGATCCACCTGACTCTGTCCCCAAGCACTGGGGTTACAGATGTGTACCCCATATCCAGCTTTTATGTAGATGCTGGTATCTAAACCCAAAATTTTACCTACTGAGTCATTTCTCCAACCCTAAATCAGTGTTTTAAAAGGACCTTTTACTGCTTCAAAACAAGTTCAGGGCTGGAGCTATGGCTCAGTGGATTCCCAGCACCCAAATGGTGGCTTAACAACCATCCTGACTCCAGTTCCAGGGGATCCAATACCCTCTTCTGGCGGTCTCAGGTATTGCATGCATGTGGTGCACTTATACACATGTGGGCAAATACACACACACACACACACACACACACACACACACACACACCAGACCAGTTCAGGGATAGGAGACCATGTATTGGTCAATATTAAGCTCAGTTAGCCATCATCTTGAGATCTCCAGTCCACAGTCATCCTCAGTCATCACTTACTGTAAGTTACAAATAAAAGCAGACTCTCCTCTTCCCAGAGGGAACCTGGCCAGGAGCCCCTCCTTCCATGACCATCAAAGCACACAGTCATTTGAGAGCAGTGTTTGCCCTGTTTATCTTGGAGACTTGATTCCAGCCATCTGGGGCCCATTCTTCCATTCTGAAAGCAGGGATACTGGAGCAGGAATTTAAAGTTTCTGTTTCAGTTCTTCATTGGATAGTTAGAGGTAGTGAGAAACTTTGTGGCATGATGTGACTGAAATTTGGCTGTCTGAGACACCTTGCTAATCAAAACATTGGGTGCTTTTGTATTGTGACTTAGGGATTAACTTGTCAGCATTACAGAGTTGACAAAATAGGTTCAAAATATAACATGGTAGCTCTTCAGAAGACTATGGGCAGTCTTTTAGTCAGGGACCAGTCATTAGTCCTCCCCTGTGAAGGGCTTCACTATGGAAATAGTAAGGGGGAGGAACCTGTGATTTTTAAAGTTCTTTAAATTCCTTTCTTTTCTTTTTTTCCAAAAAGATTTATTTTATTTATTTATTTATTTATTTATTTATTTATTTATTTACTTGGTCTTTTTGAGACAGGGTCTCCCTGTAGCCCCAGCTGTCCTGGAACTTACTATGCAGACCAGGCTGGCCTTGAACTCACAGAGATCTGCCTGCCTCTGCCTCCCCAGTGCTGGGATTAAAGGCGTGCGCCACCACGCCTGGCCTTATTATTATTATTTTATGTGGATGCGTGTATTGCCTGCATGTAGGTAAGTGCACCTGTGTTGTGCAATGCCTGTGGAGGACAGAAGAGGCTGTTGGAGCCCCTGGAACTGGAGTTACGGACAGTTGTTAGCTGCCATGTGGGTGCTGGGATTCAAACCTGGGTCTTCTGCGAGAACAGTCAGTGTTCTTAACTGCTGAGCCATCTCTCCAGCCCTGATCTTTTAAATTTTATTTTATGTGTGTGAGTGTGTTTGCCTGCATGTGTGTAAGAGGGCATCAGAGCCCCTGGAGCTGGAATTATTGACATGTGTAAGCTGCTGTGTACGTGTTGGGAACTGAACCAGCAAATGCTGTTAATTGCTGAACTATCTCTCCATCTTCCTTCTTCCTTCCTTCCTTCCTTCCTTCCTTCCTTCCTTCCTTCCTTCCTTCCTTCCTTCCTTCCCTCCCTCCCTCCCTCCCTTCATTTCCTTCTCTTCCCCTTCCTAGCTTCCTTTCCTTTCCCTTTCCCTTCCCTCCCCTCGCTCTTCCCCCCCCCTCCTTCCCTCCCTCCTTCCCTTCTTCCCTCCCTCTCTGTCTCTTTCTCTCTTGCTTTCTTTCACACCTGATTTGTTGAGAGGCTGGTGAGACAGAAAGCTTGTTTAAGGAACTTGACTTTCAGTCTTTCCATTGCCAGGGGTGTGGTGGTAGAAGTTAGTGGAAGGATCTGGTTAACTGTGGAAGTGAAGACAAAGGGCTGCTTGTACAGTCTCGGCACCGGCGTTTCTTCTTTTAAACATAGACTAAGGAAGTGAAAATCATTGCACATCTTAGCTCAGGATTTAAAAGTGAAGTGTGTATGTGAGAGGGACAGACAACTAGATACACAGAAATACATACACCCACACACAAAGAAAGGGAGAATTCCTTTTGGAGCAAATATGAGCATTTTAATCAAGTAATAGATTACTGTAGTCTCGCCAAGCCTGATTAGAATGCCTATGCTGTGCTCACGTATTTGGAAATGGAATCTCTATCCCTGAGTGGTAACATCTACCAATCCTACTCAGCACACACTGAGTCTGTCTGTAGCCTTAATTACCTCGGGTGTCTTGTAGATTACCTTAAAGGGCTTGTTGCTTTAGGGTCCAGGCCTACAGAGTGCTGGGAGGCCCACCGCAGGGTCCTTTAATGTTTCCTCTGCTGTCTGTTTTGCAGAAGCACCGACAATGAGGATGCCACTAAAAGGAAAGTCAACCTGGTCTTTGAGAAAATCCAGACTCTAAAGTCTCGAGCAGCGGGGAGTGCCCAAGGAAATAGCCAAGTAAATTGCAGTTTTATATTCGTAAAGCTTGACATATGGTGAAGGACTTGAGTCTTCAGCTGGCCACTTGTTGACAGCAGCAAGTGGGACGTTTACCCCAGGTAGCCCGCAGTGCCTCACATGAAGGGCCTGGCTTTAAACACAAGTTCAACACCTCTGATCCAAAACTCTGAAATCTATAATACTCTAAAACTATAACTTTTTTGAGTCCTGGTGTGGCACGTATGGAAAATTCAACACCTGACCACATATCTGTCATAGTCAAAATGCACAAAGCTATTAAAACCATTGTATAAAATCACGCTGAGCTCTGAGCTACCTATGCAGTGGAAACAAAGTTCACCTTTCTCTCTAGTCCACAGAATATATTACATACATGTGATACTCTAATTCCCCCTCCTCAAATTGCAAATCTGAAATACTTCTAAAGCCAGTCATCTTAGGTAAGTTGACCATAACCTGTATTTTGAATCTGTACTCTCTGGTTTCTTGGATAATTCCTAAGCTATATTGTGAGCAAGGCCAGATTCCAAAAGGCCAGAAGAAAAGAGCTGGTAGAGCCAAAGAACTCGATAGAGACTCCACAGATTGCACTGAGCTGGCGGGACCCTGGAGCTCTAACCCAGCCAAAGTAGTGGAAGCTCCGTGGATATCCAGGGAGGGAGGGTGTGGAGTGATACCAAATTCTTCTTTAAAAATACTGCCTGTTGGTCAGGGGTGATGGTGCTCACCTTTAATCTCAGCACTTGAGGGGCAGAAGCAGGCTGATCTCTGTGTGTTCTAGGCCAGCCAGAGCTATAGAGTGAGACCCTGTCTCAAAAAGTAAAAACAAAACAAGACAGAAATAAATAACAATAAAAACATCCCTGTTTAGTTGATTGTGCCAAATTGGAGTTGGGACTTAGTGTTTTTGTTTTAAATTTTTTGTTGTTGTTAAGGAGTCCTCATGCCATATTTGATAAGCATAAGCATATAGCATATGATAGAGTATATGACAGTATGATTGATAGAGTATATGACAGTATGATTGATAGAGTATATGACAGTTTATGATAGAGTATATGACAGTGTATGGTAGAGTATATGACAGTATATGGTAGAGTATATGACAGTGTATGATAGAGTATATGACAGTATATGGTAGAGTATATGACAGTATATGATAGAGTACGTGACAGTATATGGTAGAGTATATGACAGTATATGGTAGAGTATATGACAGTGTATGATAGAGTATATGACAGTATATGGTAGAGTATATGACAGTATATGATAGAGTACGTGACAGTATATGGTAGAGTATATGACAGTATATGGTAGAGTATATGACAGTGTATGATAGAGTACATGATGGTATATATGATAGAGTATATGCCTGATACACTCTGTGTCTTGTGGGAAGCAGTGTTTTAGAGAGGACTGCTAAAAACATGTTCCCCCTGGGCTGGTGAGATGACTCAGCAGGTAAAGATGCTTGTTGCCAAGTCTGATGACCTCTTTGATCCTAGAGACAGACATTGTAGAAAGAGAACTGACTCCTGTAAGTTGTCCTTGAACTTCACTTGTACACTGTGGCATGTACACACACACACACACACACACACACACACACACTAAAATAAATATGTAATTACAAATTTTTAAAGGAGGCTGGAGAGATGGCACAGTGGTTAAGAACATACTGTTCTTGCAGAGAACCAGAGTTTGGTTTCTAGCACCCGTGTCAGGTGGTTCACAACCGTCTATAATTTTAGCTCCAGGGGATCTGACACTTGGCAAATACTGCACTCACATGCACATACTTCCACATAGACATACACACACATACACATAATTAAAATGAACTGAATCTTAAAAAACAAACCGAACATGTTCCTGCACCCTACACTACCTTATGCTAGGACTCATTTCTTGCTTAAGTATCTTTCTCTCCCCTCCCAGGGAACTCTGCCTGAGAGGGACAGGGGAGATTTGAAGGCAGTAGGAAGAAGTGGGTCTGGAGCTGCTTTTTAATTTTGGAAACAGAAGTAAAGGGCAGTTTTATGTACAGCTAACACAGCTTTCAGGAGCTATACATAATTCTTGTTTATTCATTTTTTATTTGAATGTTTCATACCTTTACATATTGAATTTTAGTTGTTTTCACCCCCTCATTTCTCCTATTTCACAATTCTCTTAAAATATTTTATTATTTTTATTATTATTATTCTTATTGGTCTTTTTTGAGATAGGGTCTCCCTGTAGCCCCAGCTATCCTGGAACTCAGAGATCTGCCTACTTCTGCCTTCTGAGTGCTGGGATTAAAGGCATGCACCACCACACCTGACTTATTATTTTTATTTTATGTGTATGAGTGTTTGCCTGCATGTAGGTAGGTGCACCCATGTTGTGCAATGCCCACGGAAGTTAGAAGAAGGCATTGGATCCCCTGAAACTAGAGTTATGATGGTTGTTATCTGCTGTGTAGTGCTGGGATTGAACCTGAGTCCTCTGTAAGAGCAACCAGTGCTCTTAACCACTGAGCCATCTCTTCAGCTCCTCATAATTCCTTTTTTCTGAAAAATATTATTTATATTTTATGTGGATGTTTTCCTGTGCATATATAAGTGAACTATGCATGTGCCGTGCCTGCAGAGGCCAGAAGAGGGCAACAGATCGCCTGGAACTGGAGTTATAGAGGGCTGTTAGCTGCCATGTGGGTGCTGAGAACTGAACCTGGGTCCTCTGCAAGAGCAGCTAGTGCTCTTATCCATCTTTCCAGCCTCTCCTTTTTTTTGACAAATTCTCACCATGTAGCCCTGGCTGGCCTGGAACTTCCTACGTAAACCAGATCGGCTTTGAATTCACAAAGACCCATCTGCCATAGTGCCCCAACTTTAATTGTCCACATGTTTCAGTTTCTCTCCTCTCTTTCTTAGTTGGTCTTTCTGATTCTCTGTTGCCAAAAATTGGAAGTTTTATCTTTCAGGGGTTTGTTAAGTGATTCCCTAAGAGAGAATTTAAGAGTCTTTCCATTATGGGCTGAGACCATCTTGGAAATGGCAAAGCAGATAGGGTTTTGTGGGTTTTCTCTCTCTCTCTCTCTCTCTCTCTCTCTCTCTCTCTCTCTCTCTCTCTCTCTCTCTCCCTCTCTCTCCCTCTCTCTCCCTCTCTCCCTCCCTCCCTCCCTCCCTCTCCCTCCCTCCTTCCTTCCTTTCTCCTTCCCTTCCCTTCTTTTTTTAAACAATAGCGTACAATTCTCCCACTGGATTGAATTTAGAATCTAAAACGGATTGTTCTCATTCTAAGAAACTTGGCAGGCTTCTGATTTTGCCGTTAGGCTCCCATCCCTTTCCCAGGAGTCAGTGGGAAATCTCTCACTCCAGGTTTATGATACACAACCCACACCTGGATCATCAGTATGTGAGCCAAGATTCTGCCTCTTGTAGCTTTGATTCTTGCTTTTGTCTCTTTCCCTCACCACTTAACTGTAGAATTTTAGCCAAATCCTTTGGAGAGTATCATTCTGTTATTACTTCCATGGAAGAAAAGGAATGAGAGCTGTTAATATTCACACTCAGATCAGAGATTGTGCTTCCTAATAGGCTGTTTCATCTGGTCCCTCTTCATTGTGGAAATGCAATATCTAAAAGAAGAAAACAAATTTGGCCAAAATGTATTTTTTTATACTTGCTGACAGGCCTGTGAAGAAGGTGAGGGATGAAAGTCTATTTTGCAGTTATGGAGCAGTAATCTCCAGGGTGATGGAGGTTCTCAGCAATGACTGGGAGCACAGAGACGGGCTTTGGGCGGAACATCATGCAACAGGTGTTTCTGCAACAGATACTTATTTTTATGTTGTTTCATTGGGGGTATAACAGAGTAAGTTGCACAAATCTTACCTGTGTGGTTCACTGGGTTTTTAACACGTATCTGTGTCTGCACCTGTGCAAATACTACTCCCACAGGAAGTTCTCCTCACCCAGAAGTTTTCCTGTGTGTACTGTTTCCCAGTCAGTCATGTGCCCTCATCTTGAGGTAATCACAGTGTGACTCCTATCATCTAGATTAGTTTGCTTTTGGTCTTTTTGAGACAAGGTCTCCCTGTAGCCTCAGCTGGCCTGGAACTAGCTATGTAGACCAGACTGGCCTTGAACTCACAGAGATCTGCCTGCCTCTTGAGTACTGGAATTAAAGGCATTCACCACCACACTCGGCTTAGGTTTACCTTTCTTAAATTTCATGTAAATAAAAATTTACGTGATGTACTCTTACATGTCAGTGAAATTCATTTATGTTATATTTATCAGTAACTCTGTGTGTGTCTGTCTGTGTGTGTGTGGGGGGTATTCCTGATGAACATTTCTAGTTTAGAGCTATTAGGAATAAAGCTACAAAGAGCATTATTGTACATGCATTTGTTTTGGTGAACACATTTACTCACTAATGTCTCTTAGTATGTAAGGAAGAGTAAAATTTCTGAGTCGTAAAGTAGGCAAAAGGTTAGCTCTAAGTACTATGAATGATTGTAGGAAGTGGTACAGACCATTTTCATCCTCACAGAGGCACACACCAGAGGCACACCGGTTGTTAGACCCCAACACTAAAATGCTCTACTGTGTTCCTTTGGTTCTTTTCTCTCTCCATTCATTCTCTTCACATCTAAATACTATGTGTTTAGAGAATGCTTTGAAATCTAGTAATGTTTGTCTCTCAACTTGATTTTTCAATAGATTTATTTTTATTTTGTGCTTATGAGTGTTTCTTGTGTGTATGTATGTGCACAGAGGCTAGAAGAGGGTGTTGGATCTCCTGGAACTGCAGTTACAGATTTTGAGCTGCCATGTGGGTGCTGGGAATTGAACTCAGACGCTCTGCAGGAGCAGCCAGTGCTCTAAACCGCTGAGCATCTCTCCAGCCCTCTCTTCCAACTTTGTAACTTTCTTCTTTTCAACTTTGTCTTGGCTATTCTGAGTCTTTTATCTGTCCAAGTAAACTTCAGAATTTCCTGACAGCAGGAGATAGAGAGTGCGGGATTTTGTCTGGGGTTCCATTGGGTATAGAGATCAATTTGTTCAAAATGAGCTCTTGGTACCCTTCTTGAACATGAGCCTTCTCCCCATTTATTTACAGAAGCTTCTCCCAGGAGTGCTTTGTCATCTCTAAAATCTTGTGTGTCTTTCATTTTGATTCCTTTGCTTTCCAGCTCCATTCACTCTTTTCCACTTAGGGCTGTTTTCTTCCACCCCGGGGAACTTTCCTATTCCATCCCGCTGCCTTTTCTGTTGACAAGGCGTTCTCTCTGTGTTGTTTGATATTGTTGTTCATCCATTCTTGTGTTTGAAGATATCTAGTTGACAACTAGTTGGCAGGTCGTGTGTGTGTGTGTGTGTGTGTGTGTGTGTGTGTGTGTGTTTGTGTGTGTTTGAGACAGGGTTTCACTTGCAGCCTTGACTGGCCTGGAACTTGCTATGTAGACCAGGCTGTCCTTAAATTCACAGAGTTCTGCTTGCCTCTGCTGGGATTAAAGGTGTGCACTATCACACCCAGCTGGCGAATATTGTTTTGACTAATAACTTTAGAGATGGCGTTTGTCTCTTGGCCCCCATGGGCTCCCCTTGGAAGTCAGGCAGCATTCTTAATATTGTTCTGCTGTGAGGATTGATCTCAGCTGTTTGAATATTTAATCTTCCATTTTTAGAAATTTGAGTTTATTGTGTCTAAATGTGCTTTTCTTATGCTTATCCTACTCGGGGTTCGCTGTGTTCTTGACTTGATAGGTTGCTGGCCCTCATCAGATCTGAAATATTCTTGGTCATTGTTTTGAATATTGCTTCCACCTTCTTCCTCAGATTCTATTTGCATGAGTGTTAGAACTTTTGATGGTAACCCTTGCTCTCTCTGTGTGTCTGTGTGTGTCTGTATGTATAGCTCTGTATCTGTGTGTCTGTGTATGTGGCTCTGTGTGTGTGGGTGACTGTGTGCAAATCTGTGTGTGCATCTGTATATGTGTATGTGTCTGTGTGTATGTGTCCATGTGTGTCTGTGTGCTGGTGAGTGTATCTGTGTATGTGTCTGTGTCTGTGTGTATGTGTCCGGGTCTGTGTGTGTGTGTCTGTGTAAGTGTGCATCTGTGTGTGTCTATATGTGTCTATGAGTATGTGTGTGTGTATCTCTGAGTGTGTGTCTGTGTATGTATCTGTGTGTGTACACCTCTGTGTGTGTCTGTGTTTCTCTGGGTATGTATCTATGTGTGTCTGTGAGTGTCTCTGTGTGTGTCTGTGCATGTGTCTATGTGTGTCTGTGTCTATAAGTATCTCTCTCTCTCTGTGGTTTCATTTGGTGTTTCAGAAACTGGATATTTTCTGTTGATCTTTCAAATTCACTTATTTGGTTTGCTGGATATCTCTATCTTCTCCTAAGGCTTAAGGGCTTATTCTTTTATATTTTGTTGCATTTATTTATTGTGTGCACACTTGTGTTTGTGTCTTCATGTCTGTGTGTATGTGTTTGGGCACAAGTGCATGTGTGTGGAGGTCAGAGGACAGCTTGCAGGAGTCGGTACTTTCCTTCTACCATGTGAGACTTGGGGATCAAGCTTGGGTTTTCAGGTTCAGTGGCACATGCATGTACTCATTGAGCCACGTCACCAGCCCAAGGCTTATTCCTTTAAAATGTCTTTAAGCAACTCTTCTTCATCCTCCTTTAAGGACGAGTCTTCATGTTTATCTTTTTCTTCTTGGTGTGTGTGTGTGTGTGTGTGTGTGTGTGTGTGTGTGTGTTTTGTATTCACATGTGTGTGGGTGTATGTGTGTGCGGGTATATGTGTTTCTTGGTGTGTGTGTGTGTGTGTGTGTGTGTGTGTGTGTGTGTGTTTTGTATACTTACATGTGTGTGGGTACATGTGTGAGCAGGTAGATGTGCATATGTGTGCATGCGTGTAGAGGTTGCTGTCAGGAATCTTCCTCACTCTTCCATCCTATTCTTTGAGGTGGGGGTCTCTGAATCGAAGCAGGGACTCACCGATGTGTATCTATCTAGTCTCACTAGCAGCTTGCTGTGGGGAATCCCCTGTCTGCCTTGTGAGGCTGAAGTTACAGATGAGCCACCACCCCCACCTGGGATTTATGTGGCTTCTGGGGATCTGAACTCTGGTCCTTTGGCTTGCACAGCAAGCACTTTAACCACTGAGCCACTTCCCCATCCCCTAGGGGAAATTCTTATGAGTCATTTAATGAGTTCCTTTATTCCACATTGTGTGGCCATTCTAGAATGTCCATTTGATTATGCTTAGATTCTAATTACTGTGGAAAACCATCATTTTATCCATTTTGCTCATAATTTCTTCTATTTAAAAGAGTACTATTTCCAGTTCTCTTGACTTACTTCTTGTTCAACTTCTATCTAGTCCTCTCCATGTCTGTTGGCATTTTCCTTCCATATTGCTTAGTTGCATTTTTGAATGTCCAGAGTTTTCTGATTGCATGCTGGGCATAGTGGCTGGCAAGGGCTCTGGGCTGTGCTCTCTTCCACTGAAGGGTGTTCATTTTCTTCTGACAGTTGAACTAAGTGCTGGTCACTTCATTCTGTAGATTCTGTTGCTTTAGGCTTTGCCAGGGTGGGTCTCATTAAGGTTTTACCCTCATTCCTGTGGCATGGCCCACATTCCTTTCCTGGATCTCAATTGAACCCAGGGTATCAGCCAAGCCTTCCCAGCTTTACCTGAGTTGTAACTCCAGCCTTCCCTAACTCAGCACAACCTGTGGTGTGTTGTTTGGTTCTTTACCTCCTAGCAGCAATTTATTTTTCTCTCAACTTTTAGAATCTTGCCTTGCTCATAAAATAGCTCAGGAATCATCAAAGAAACTAAAGATACTTATTTTCTTTTTGGAAAATCATTTTTGCCAAAGTGTCCTTACCTCCCCATGACCCTTATCCTGAAATTGATGTTTATGTTTGAACTCTTAATTCCCATGTCTTCTTCATCTGTGAGTGGCTCCCCTTTTGTTTGGGCCCCTTTTATTCTCAAATTAAATTAATAAATTATTTTTGTTGGTTGGTTTTGTTTTGCAGTGCTGGGAATTGAACACTGGGCTTCACACGTGTTAGATGAATACTTATACTACTGAGTTACATCCCCAGCCCAATAAACTTGATGTGTTTAGAGCAATTTTAAGTTCAGAGCTGAATTGAGTTGAAAGGTCAAGAATTTCCCAGGCCTTAACATGCTCCTCTGGAGTGGTACCTTTGTTACTCTGGGCAGATTCTGCCATGTCCTTAACATTCAAGCTGGGATTTATTCTCAGTGGCATACATTGTATTAGGTGTGTGTATGTATGTGTTTGTGTGTGTGTACATGCATGTGGAGACTAGAGGTTGATGGGTGTTTTTCTCAAAAACCCAGCTTTGGGGAGGCAGAGATAGGAGGATCCTTGGGGCTCACTGGCCAATTTGCTTAGCCTATTTGATGAGCCCCAGGCTAGTGAGAGACAATGTCAAAAAAAAAAAGTGAACAGTGTCTGAGGTTTTCCTCAGGCCTCCATACTCACATGGTCACACACATGCACCTGTATACACAAACACACACACACACACAGACACATACATCACACACACCACATGGACACAGACACACACACACACACACACACACACACACACACACACAAAGAAGCTTTTTAAGTTTCACTGCTTCTAAATTTTATACCTTAATATTTCATAATATTAAAGACTTCCAACAAATACACTATGTTACTTAAGTTTTAGCCATGTTGGACCATGGTGAGAAATCTGGCAAAATAATCCATGTGGCTGTGGTGAATGTTGTAAAGTTCACTTGTTCTGGTGGGGGTGGGTATTACAATGAACTCTTGGGGAGAGCGTGGCAGGGGTTGACGTTTGAATTGAGCCTTGAGATAGCTAGTACTCTGCCTCATCTGTCCCTTCCTTGATGATATCTTGGGGGAAGATAATTGCAGTAAAGCATCCTGAGCATTTAAATTAGGGTGCCTTTACAATTCGTTGCAGGCTTCTAATTCTTCATCTGAAGTCAAAGGTCTGTTGGAACAGAAAAACAAGCTGACTTTAGAAGTGGCTGAACTTCAGAGACAGCTGCAACTAGAGGTGAAGGTATCTAGCATTTCCTTGTTTTTCCCTTAATCTTGGTTGATAAAAAATTCTTTAAATACATTGGGATGCCCACGTGAGGTGGAAGCCAATTAAAAAATTACTTTTATGCCGGGTGTGGTGGTGCACGCCTTTAATCCCACCACTGGGGAGGCAGAGGCAGGCGGATCTCTGTGAGTTCAAGGCCAGCCTGGTGTACATAGTGAGTTCCAGGACAGCTGGGGCTACAGGGAGACACTGTCTCAAAAAGACCAAAAAAACAAAATTACTTTTATATTTTACATTATGTATATGTGTGTGTATCTATCTGAGGATGTGCTTGTGTTTTTGTGCAGAGCCTGTGGAGGCCAGAAGAGGGTATTGAACCCCCTGGAGCTGGAGTTGCTGTTGTGAGCCACCTGATGTGGGTGCTGGGAACTGAACCTGGGTCCTCTGTAAGAGCAGTATATGTGCTCTTAATCACTGAGCCATCTCTCCAGCCTCCAAAATAAATGCAATTCCTCCTAAGAGAAACATTCTGCTTCATCACTGAGTAAATTCCTGTGTATTTGGCAACTGCCTTCCAAAGAATTTTTTTTTTAAGTAGCCAAATTATACAGAAACTGCTTGCTTTGAGTAAAAGAAACACTGTTGGATTGAGACAGACCAATGGGAAACTATGTGCTGTTACTACACAAAGGATCTGAACTTAACTAATAGAAACTATAAAATGAGGTTTAGCTGTGTTTATGGTTTTCTTTAAAAATATTACGGTTCATTACATATAAATATTTAATACTCTTTCTAGTTAGGAACTTCTAAACCTTGATTACATGGTTTGATTAAGTTGTTTAATAACTAAGGAAGAAGCACACAGAGTCCATTAGAGTTTAGAATAGGCTTCTGGATGGGACTTAGTTGGTAGAGTGTTTGCCTAACATGCATGAAACCCTGGAGTCCATCCCCAGCACTGCATAAACTGGGCGTGGTGCTGCCCGCTGTAATCCCAGCACTAGGGAAGTGAAGGCAGGAAGATCAGTTCAAGATCATTCTTTGTTACATAGGTAGTTTGAGGCCAGCCTGGGATTCATGAGACCTCATCATAGGCAGACAGACAGACACACACACACACACACACAGAGTAGGCTTCTGTGTTGATGGATGGTAGAGGTTCTTCAAAATCACTGATTCCTGTTAGAACCATCAGAACATCAAAGAGGAGAGAGAGAGAATGAGAGCGGACATAGAAGAGCTGTGTGGCCAGCACAGGAGCAAGGTGGAAGAGAACTCTGAGTTGCAGCGACGGCTGGAGGAGAGCGAAGGCGAGCTGCGGAAGAGCTTGGAGGAGTGAGTGCTGGGCCCTGAGTCCCCACACTTCCCGGGGTGTATGTCCAGAACTCTTCTGTCCTTTTCGCTCTGCCCAGCCCTCCGACTATTTAAGACTGCTTATCCTTCTTTCCTTCTTTTCTCTTATAAAACTGCAGCAGGTGATGTGCACAGGCTGGCAAACAGGGAGGTCAGTAATGATCTGACCCTTTGTGCCCCTTGAGCATGACTTGTAAAATTTTAGCCCCTAAAGGGAACCTCATAGCAGGTGATGAAACGCAGGGAGCCCTGAGCGGTGAGATGGAAAGACTTAAGATTTTAAGTGCAGAGCCCTGAGTGGTGATAATATAATGACCAACATTTCCAGTGGGAACCCTGAGCCGTGATATCTAACAACTAAGGTTTCCCAGAGTCTGGGCCCAGTCTCGAAAAATACACCTGATCTGGTGTCCACAGTCTCCCTTGCTCCTTGAATCCTGAGTGGGGCTGGTCTCTGATGTGTGCTCACCCCTGTTCAGCCTGTAGAAAGGGTAAGCCTAAGGTGGCCCTGGTTGCTGCATTATTCTATGAAACTAGGTGGGAAAGGGATCTAAAATCAAGTCTGAATGTGCACAACACTATGTGGACATGTTGAAAGTCTTAGGTTCAGTGTTAGGCCAGAGTGAAAATACTGAAGGAGATGCAGGAAAAATGAGATGTTATGTAAGAAGGCATTGGACAATCCTTGTAGGTTTAAACCTTACAAAGAAAATTAAAATCATTGTCTGTGTGTGTATGTGCATGTGAGTGCAGGTGCCCTTGGAGGCCAGAAGAGGCCATCAGACCCCCTGGAACTGGAGTTATAGGTGGTTGTGAGCCACCCCATGTGGGTGCTAGGAAGTGCACTTGGGTTCTCTGTATGATCAGTACTCACTCTCAACCACTGAGCTGTCGTTCCAGCTCTGATCCTTGCAGTTCTGGTGATGGAAATTGTGCTTTAAAAACACTGATAGAGATGCTGGGGATGGGGCTCGGTTGGTAGAGGAGGCCCTGGGTTCCATCCCCAGCACTGCATAAATGGGGTGATGGCACACACCTGTAGTCTCAGCATTTGGGAAGTGGCAGCAGGAGGATTAGAAGTTTAAGATCATCCTTTGCTACAAAGGAGTTCAAGCCCAGCCTGGCCTATAATGAAATTTTATCTCAAAACAAAACAACAAAATAAGATAAAAAACCCAATAAAACAAAAGGTTAATTTCAGAAAATAAGAAAAAAGAATCAGAAAATTCACAGCATAGTAAAGTTTCTGCAGAATGAAAAGATACAGTTGTGAGTGTGATTTAGAGGCTAGTGAATTTTCCTTGTCAGGTGGTGATTATTCTGGGGTTTGTGGATCTTGCAATCTTGTATCCATTTAGCTCTACCACCATTTCCTGAACATGGCCACAGGCAATGTCACAAATGAGTGAGCCTGGCTGTGTTACAGTAACACTAGGACAGTGAGCTTGGGCTGTGTTAGTATTTCTCACTGTTGTGATAAAGACAAAGAGGAAAGATGCATTTAGCTGACAGTTTCAGTAGATTCAGTCCAGCATGGCAGGGTGTGTGGTGGAACAGCTCACACCATGGCGGGAGGGAAGGAGAGAGGAGAGAGAGAGAGAAAGAGAGAGAGAGAGAGGAGAGAGAAAGAGGGAGAGAGAGGAGAGGAGAGGGGAGAGAGGAGAGGAGAGGAGAGGGAGAGAGAGAGAGAGGACAGAGAGGAGAGAGGGAGAGAGAGAGGAGAGAGAGAGAGGAGAGAGAGAGAGGAGAGAGAGAGAGATGGGGTGGGGAAGGAAGAAGAGGGAGAGAGAGGAGAGAGAAACTATGTATGGGCTTTCCCTTTCACCCCTTTGAATTCCATCCAGGTCCTTAGCCTATGGATGGTGCTGCCCATATTCAGGGTGGGCCTTCCCCTCTTAGTTACCGCCCCCCCCCATCTTCATGGACACACCTGGAGATGTGTTTTACTAATTTCCTAGGCATTTCTCAATCCAGTCAAGTTGACAATCAGTATCAACTGTTACAGGCTGGCACTGCAATTAAACAATGACACAAACTAAAAGCAAAAGGTATGTTTATTTTGCATATAAAATACTAGTTGTACTGATCAAATAATCTATTTATTTATTTATTTATTTTTTGGTCTTTTTGAAACAGGGTCTCTCTGCAGCCCCAGCTGTCCTGGAACTCACTATGTAGACCAGGCTGGCCTTGAACACACAGAGATCTGCCTGCCTCTGCCTCCCAAGTGCTGGATTAAAGGCATGCACCACCACGCCCAGCATGTTTCCTCATCTTTTACATCCAAATTGTAGTGCTCCATGGTGTCTTTGGGGTAGAAAATGTCCTTGTAACTCTTGTAACTCTGTTGGCTGAATTAGGCCATAGCCCTGAGTCCTCAGCAGGTGCATTTCCAATGCAGCACAGAGCATGTTGGGAGGGTTCTTGGAACTATGGATGACTATGTAACAGGCTGAAGGTCTATGGTCAGAACAGGTGAGGACTGAGGATCCTAGGGTCTCTCTGATGAACCTCTGTCTCCTCCTACCCCTCCACCAATAGGCTGTTCCAGGTGAAGATGGAGCGGGAACAGCACCAGACTGAGATCAGAGATCTGCAGGACCAGCTCTCAGAAATGCATGATGAACTGGACAGCACCAAGCGATCTGAGGACAGAGAGAAGGGAGCACTGATTGAGGTAAGGGCACTGGGGGCCAGCTTTGGAGGACTGGGTACTACAAGGCACTCTGTTGTGTGTATTTTTCCTGCATGTGTCTATTGTTAGATTCTGTGCGAATATTTTCTCTAAATATTGTTTTAGGAAAACTTTCAACCACGATGAAAAGTAAAAAGAATAAAGCATTAGAGGCTGGGGAGATGGCTCAGTGGTAAAGTGCTTGCCCTGCAAGCATAAGGACCTGGGTTCAATCCCTAGAAACCATGTAAGAATAGCTGGGTGGACATAGTGGCGTGTACTTGTAATCCCATTGCTGGGAGACACTGTCTCAGTAACAGAGTGGATGGCACATGAGGGATGACACCAGAGGTTGACTTCTGACACACACACACACACACACACACACACACACACACAGAGGAAGAATTGTGCATTCGCATTCATAGATCCCACTCACAGGTCCAAGACTTGTCAATATTTTGCCTTATTTCCTCCACTTATTTATCTGCTCATCTATTCATTCTTTTAGTTAGTCTGAATGATTTTGAAGCAAATTACAGATCATGCCTCCTCAAATTTTCAGTATGTGTCTTCTCTTTTATAGAGTTTAGGTACCATTCTGGCACAGCTACAATGCCATTATGCTAATTAACAAACTTATGATTTCTTTACTATAAACATAATAGTGAATCTCTCTGTATAATATATTTATAACATAATCAAAAGTCTTTGCCTTTCAGTGAAAGTGGAGCTTCACCATCAAATTCAAAAGGGACAAAAGACTTTCCTGTAATTCCTTGTGTTGATATTTTATGGGTTCCAAAAGAAAAGATGTTTTCTTAGCGCCTGGAAAGCCTCCCAAGTTGCTGTTCTTCCCTCATAATTCAAGTGTGCCATTATTAGGCGCCCATTCCCCTAGCACTGTCCTTCTGCATCTGCTTAGTTCTCTGCTTTGCACTGGTTTCGCATCTCTTTCTTCTAGCACTCTCTGCGAAGGGTCATCTTCTTTACTGTCTTTGCTTCTTCTCTCATTCCACGCACAGCATTAGTGCTGAATGACAGAACAAAATAATAATTTTCAGCCAGGTGTGGTGGTACACACCTTTAATCCCAGCACTTGGGAGGCAGAGGCAGGAGGATCTCTGTGAGTTCGAGGCCAGCCTAGTCTACATAGTGAGTTCCAGGCCAGCTGGGGCTATAGGGAGACCCTGTCTCAAAAAGCCAAAAAAAAAAAAAAAAAAAAAAAAAAAAAAAAAATTTCTTTTTTTCACTATTTAATTTACTTTACAAAGTTACCATATTCTAAAATGAAGTAATTCTAAGATGAACTGCATACTATTTTAATATTTTTATTTTTGGACATGTTTCATATAGCTCAGGCTTGAAATGTAGCTGATGATGACTTTGAACTCCTGGTCTTCCTGCTTCCACCTCCTGAGTGCTGGGATTACAGGTATGCATCACCATGTCCACTTTTATGTGGTGCTGGGTGTGGGGGATGGAACCAGGGCCTCATGCATGTTAGGCAAGCACTCTACCAGCTAAGCCACATCTCTTGTTCACTTCTTTAACTTTAAAAAAAAAATTATTTTTATCTTTTTTTTATTTTTGAGACAGGGTCTCCCTGTAGTCCGAGCTGACTTGCAACTCACTATGTAGACCAGTCTCGCCTAAATCTCACAGAGAATCAACTGCCTCTGCTTCCCATGTGCTGTGATTAAGGGCGTGCACCATCATACCTGGCTCCTATTTTTTTTTTTTGTCATTTAAAATTATCTGTATGTGAGTATGCACATGAGTGCAGTGCCTGTGGAGGCCAGAGGGATTGGATCCCCCTGGAGCTGGAGTTACAGGTAGTTGTGAACTGCCTTATGTGGGTGCTGGGAACTGAACTTGGGTCCTCTGGAAGAGGAGTAGGTGCTCTTAACTTCTGAGTCATTCATCTCTCCAACTCCCAGCCCCCACTTCTTGAACTAAACACAATTTAGTCAACAGATTAGTGGGATTATTTATTCAACAGATTAGTGGGATTATGTACATTGGTAGGCTGGATAAGGACCTAAACTGTGGAATGGACCACATCTTTCTTTTCCCCTTTCCTTCCTTCCTTCCTTCCTTCCTTCCTTCCTTCCTTCCTTCTATAAAGGGTATTTAGATTCAGGAAAATTATGAAGAAGTTTGAAGAACACTATTCTTTTCTTTTTTTTTTTGATACAGGGTCTCCCTTTAGCTCCAGCTGGCCTGGAACTCAATATATAGACCAGACTGGCCTCAATCTCATACAGATCAACCTGCCTCTCTCTTCCCAGCACTGAAAAACATAGATCTGGAGTTACCAGTACTGGTTGTTTGTGCCTTTCCAGACAGGACCTGTGTCATCTGCAGGCGGGAGGTAGGGAGGCACTGTTAGCACTTCCAGCCTAAGTATTTTGCTTTCACCTTGGGGGAAAAAATCTCCCCCAATGATTTTATCATTTTCCTCTGACTTTTCAGTAACATTTAAAATATGATCTATGGTTTCCATGGCACTAATAGAAGAGATCCCATCTTCCAGTCACTTTCAATTTATTCTTCATATCTTAATAAGAAGTAGCCTGGAGGAATTTGATAAGAGATTCAAGTTGGGGCCAGGTTTTCCATGGCTTTTGGCTCAGAACAGATTCTTAAACACAATGAACATTGAACCTGTAAGCTTTTGCATGTCTGAAAAATATTGAAGGCTCTGTGCTGTGTGGCCTGTGTAGCAGTCCAGACTTTTTATGAAATCTCCTTCTGACTCTAGTGCTGGGGACTGAAGCTAGGGCATTCTGCACGCTACACACATGCTGAGCTACTGCGTTGTACCCCAGCCCAGAAATATGTCACTTTTTGTTAAATAACATCAGGCTTCTATATGGAATCTATAAAATAACATCTGGAAAAACTAAAACAATGAAAAGGAAAGCATAATAGAAAGTGCTTTGTTAAGCCAGTAGCTGATGAACAATAGGAAAGATCTCTATTATTAATTGAATTGATGGGTCTGAGAACCTTTTTTTTTAAGTCAGGGGATCATGTAGCCCAGGCTGGACTCACACTTACTATGTAGCTTTCAACTCCTGATCCTCCTGTCTCCACCTCCCCATGCTGGGATTACATGGGTGCACACCACCATGCCTGTTTTTCTTTTCAATGCAGTATTAAGGCTGGAACTCTGGGTCTCGTGCATGCTAGGCAAGCATCTACCAAACAAGCTACATCCCCAGCCCCTGAAAACTATAATTTTAATTTAAAAAACTATAAAAGACTACTTATTATTTGTGTATTATTTTGTGTATTTATGTGTTCCCATGGCTTGTGAGTGAGGGTCAGTGGACAACTTTTGGGAATTAGCTCTTCCTTTTACTTCTTATGAGTTCTGGCACTTGAACTCAGGTCACCAGGCTTATACTGCAAGGGCCTTTACCTGTTGAGCCATCTTACCAGACCTTTTCTTTCTTTTGGCCAAGAAAAGGTTTATTTCATCATATACTTCCAGGAAATAGTTCATCACTAGGGAAGTTGGAGCAGGAGCTCAAGGCAGGAACCCAGACGCAGGAATTGTGTAGACAGCATGGAGAAACACTGCTTACCAGCTTGTTCTCTCTTGCTTCCTCAGCTGCTTTTCTTTTCTTTTTCTTTTTTTTAAAAAATAATTTATTGAGAATTTCATACAGCAATATAAGCATATAAGGTGTTTTGATCAAATCTGTGCCCACTCCCTCCCCTCTAACTCCTCCCATATCTCCCCATCATTTTTTTCTGATAACTTCGTGTACTCTTTCTTCTTTTTTTTATGGGGCTTTTTGCTACTCTGACATTCCCCCCTCTGAAGAGGTAACCCTAAAATCTTTTAGGGACTAGATAAGAGCTCCCAAATACTTTAGACATTTTTGGCCTTTGCAATGGAGTATGTTGCTAAGAGACCCTGGGACATTTTGACTTTTAGCCAAGAAGCTGGCAACTTTTCTTTAGGGTCTTTCTACCCTAACTGCCTAGCCAATTCCTATCTCCTATTCTTATCACACCATCCTCTGAAGGGGTTACCTAAATTGCCAATAAGGAATAGGAACGCAGACCGCTCTGGCTTCTTCCATGCTGAACAGGGACACAGGGTGAGGCAATTGGAGTGCCCCTTTAGTGGGTCTATCTAAAAGACTCCCAAATTGCATAACTCTTAACTGTAGGGAGAAAAGAAAGACCTTGAATCATGAATAGGAGATGTGAAGGAGAAAGGCAAGAGTAATTAGCATTACAAGTTCTAGAGAGGGAACTAGAAAAAAGTCGAAACAGGGCAAATTTCAAATGTTTATGAGAGTCCATTGGAGTTTCTTGTTGAGAGCTTCCACAAGCATCCCCCTATTGGGTTATTACTCATTTTTCTCTTGTCTGCCAAGGCTGGACTTGAGAGTGATGGAGGATTTGCTTTCAGGCATTTTGATAGCTGTTGGAGTGGTTAGAATCAGTGTCAGTTCCCTCTCAAAGTCTTCTAGATAGGGGGAGAAAACAAATATGGCCATCATTTTAGAACAATAGCTGGTTGTCTCCGTTAGCTACAGGTGGGCACTACGGTATTGCAGACCAAGATTTGAAGTCTTACATCTGAGCAGCACTTTCTGATTCAGAACAAAATCATCAATGAGAGATAATTGTCTAAATAACTTTTTATATGGACTTAAGCCTAATGTCTGAGAAGTATAATCCCTTAACTCTTAACAAAATATACTGATCACTTTATTCTTTGGTTAAACTTTCCTTTTGGGTGTTTAAGACCCTACAGTGGCCCAAATAAATCAATTCATATTTACACTTAAGGTTGTTTGAGGATCTGTTCCTCAGGGGTCACATGGACTTGGGAGGAGCCCCTGGCTCCTTTCTTTTACCTGTTCCATCTATGTGAAGATAAGTCAAAGGCCCTACTCAACCATAGCTGGCTTCACTTGGAAGCATGGAGGAACTGTTTCCTCTGAGTTGATCCTTGTCTTTGTAGACTGGACACTGGT